GTAGTAGTAGTAGTAGATGATTAACTTCTACCACCCCGGCTGCCGCTTTTGTATTCGTAAGTGTATAAGTACTTATGTTCGTAGGAGTCGTTGCAGTCGGAAGTCGTACTTACTGGCATCATAATCATATCCTGCTATGATACTCTTGTCAGCATTTTCATCAACGTCATCATTATGCATGACATCATGCTCAAGAGCATCTTTTTTACTTGGACCACGTCATCTCAGCCAGTCGCAAGGCCCAGGGATTTCTCATCGTGACAAGTTGATAGGAATCCGAAGCTTTCAACGCCAACCCGCATACAGAAAGTTGCATGGCTTTCGGGCAGAAGCGAGGACTACATTCCAATGCTCCTTCCCGGTTTCATGAGCCCGGGCCTTGGCAAACACAGCTCGGCTGCCTTCAGCTCTCTGGTTGTGAAGAAACACTCTTCGGTGGTAGTGAGGTGGTGATGATCACGATGACAATAGGTTCTAGACGCAGACTCAACCCCTGCATATTGAGGGCTTCAAGCAACAGCCTCACATTTCGCGTCAACCCAAAACCCTTAGTGCTTCCACAGATCCGCTTCAGCGTAGCGCGATTGGCGGAACCACAACCATGGTCATCACTTTCGACGTAAAATTAACCGTGACTGCCCAGTTACTTCTGTAGCAGGCTGTTGTGTAGGAGATATGGGTACGACCAGGCGTGTATACGGTTTAGGGGGCACGCCCGCTGTATGGGTAGTAAGGCTTCTGTGGTATCATCATCGACAGAAACGTGTTTTGGCCATCTGATGTTGTAGAGCAAGCACCCTGCCCGACTAGTCGGAATCTGAGCAAATATAAAGTTCTGAAATTTTCAGATGCGCCAAGTGTAAGTACTGTTAAAGTAATCCTATGATATATTTCTACTTAGTTAGGTTCATCAAATGTTCGCACGACCTCATGCTCCCTGCTGAGACTCAGAGCACCGCTTCGTGCGAAGGGGATCCCTCAATGCTAGCTTAAATCTGGGTCGTTCTCTAAATTAGGGTCCCTTTTGGGATCTTTTTTTTGGGGTGCTGTGCTATTCTTGGGACCTGGAGGTTCCACCTAACCACGACGACGTAGTCTCGCCATATATTCCAGGTCACCACTTTCATAAGGCGCAGGTTCTCGACTCATCCCTGTTCAGGGTGCCCGAATCCCGAAGCCCATTCACGAAGGTCTGGAAGAGGAAGGTCTCGATGTCTACAAATGCGACAATTCTGCTGCCTGTCCTGGTGGTAGGCCGGGGAACTGCGCTGGCGTGCCTGTGCTGCACTGAATCCACCCCTGATCCGTGCACATACTATCATGTTTGCTTCAGTTTAATTTCACTCGGCTAGTTGTGGCGATTGCATTCATTGCTGTTTCCGTGCTCCTGCCTTTGCAGCAGAAGCACCTCGGACATAGAGACAGAAATACGGCCAGCACGCCCTGGACCTAAACCCTAAAAAGGGACTCCTGAGGTGGGGGGCTTAGGTTGCGAGGCCCCTTAGGGATACGGCTTCCCCTTCACATCCGGAGGTGCGACCTGCAAGAAGCAACCTGCTTACAGCTCGCTGTACTTAGGGCATCTAGTGTGATCGGTAAAAAGGTGTTAGATGTCAATGTCAGATTACGTGAGGTCGGCTGCCAGACCGGAACGCCAAGCCTTAGACCTCACACGTGTTTCGTGTGTGGTAGACGGCATGGCACAGGCATCTAGGAGCTACAGAGATTGCAGCAGTCAGAGCGATGTGACCCACGAGGCAAGCAAAGGCATTTCCTGCTTCGAGTGTGCGGACGGCCAGCAATGGAACGGGGAGGAGTGCCGTCCTTGCAAGGGGCCGAGTTGCTCTGGTGCTCGAAAGGGACTAGAAGGCCAAGAGGCTTCGATGCCACCTCTTCTTCCTCCGAAAAGAGCTCTAAGGTCAGGGATGGGTGCGGCTTGGATGGATCGTCGCAATCGTCGGAGTGTGTGCCTGCTTGCCCTTCGCCCACCGCGCGAAGATGGAATACACATCCCAAACACGAGAGATCCTTGTGTTCACGTTCTTGACAATCCTTGAGATTGGCGGCAACGTCTTGCAAACCCTTGCTATTACTGGCCAGATGACTTTGGAATGGCCCCAACTCTTGGTCAGCATGTTCTCTCTCCTCCAGGTCTTCGCTTTCGAAGCCGCAGACCTGGGACTTAGCTGTGTGAGCGGATCGCGGCCCTTGCAGCAGTTCGGATTTCAGGTTGCCGTGCTCCCTTGCGGACTGCTCTGGCTCCTTCTTGTACACTTTCTCTTCCGCATGCTTTCCCGTGGCCGAAAGTTGACCGACCTCATGGCCTCAATGGGGCAGATGGTGACTAGGCCGCTGAGGATTTGTGACTTAGGTATACAGCATCTGTATCCAGGCACAAGCGCGAACTTCGAGCCTAAAACCAAGCAATGCTCTATTATTGGCTGGTTTGAGGGAGACAGATAGTCCCCAACCCGAAACTCTAGCTCCTAAGCCCAAGCCCGAATTACAGTTCTGCAGGCGCACGCCAAGGACTGAGAGCCATGACCCCTAAGCCTCACACCTGCCATACATGAGCGGACTCCTCCCTAGAAGTTTTTGACTGAGGTCGTTGTGTGCTTCCAGGCCGTCAGCAACCTCTCTATGGTTCCTTTCATGTGCTTCAGACATCCTACTGGACGTCATAGCAACCTTCAGATGCTCAGCATCCTCTGTGGCAGTGACGACCATGCAGCCATGATGATCATGGGAACATGCCTGGGGGCCCTGCTCTGTGCCTTTTGGGCCATTTGCGTTTGGATATTGTGGCGCCTACCCAGCTGGAGTATGACTGAGACCCCTGGATGCTCAAAGAAGAATCCTAAGCCCTGCACCCCAAACCCGGCCTAAACCCTAACACGAAGCAAAGCTCGCTACTATGGGGTGTTGGAGCACAGTGTACGATACACACACCTTAAACAGGGTTATAAGGTTTAAGTGTTTAAATTTAGTGCGTAAGGGTTTTTTAAGGGTTTAGAGCTTAAGGTTTTTAGGGTTTCCGGTTCGGGCCTGTACCGGTTTGGGGTTGAAGGACAAAGGCTTTTGGGCTGCATGGCTTGGGGCGTTAGGGTGCTTCCACAGTTCAGGGTTTAAACTCTAGACTGCAGGAGCTAAAGCTTTTCGTGCCGTGTGGGTTTTGGGGTTTATGCCCTTCTGCCGCGCACCCAGATTGTTGGGAAACGGAGCAAGGGGGATGTCATACTTCGCCTGCTGAGGAACTATCAGCATCACGTCGCAGCGTCTGAATTCCTCATTGACAAGTTCCGTCTGGAGTGCTCCGAAAGCTTAGGGATAGACGGCTTGGGCTCTTTGAGGTCTGTGTACTGAACCCTGATGCCCTAAACTCTGGATGGATGAAGTCCGCATTGCGCGCAGGTATCAGTGTCTGAAGGGTGCTGATAGTGTATTCAGTAGAGAGGTTTGAGTCCCTCATCGCTCCTACATAACTATCCATCAATACAACGAATTGTGCATGAATGTACGGTATAGAAATTACGCATAGTATAAGTCGGAACCCTGTCCCAGTCAGGCCCCCACAGGATAACGGGCCCCACGACATGGGGGGAGTTCTATAGGGCAGCTGAAGAGATGATTTTCCGGCAAGTTTTCGGGCACTAAGGTTCTGGGGTGTTGTGCCGTTTTGGGGTCAGAGGTTCTAAGGTTTAGGGCTCTAGGGTTCTGGGTTTAGGGCTTAGGGGTGTGGGGCTCAGGGATTAGGATTCTAGGGGTTCCAGGGTTTAGGCTCTAAAACTCAGGCAGGGCTCGCACGTCTAGGGTTTAAGACGACAGGGTTCCTGGTTGAAGACTCTTGCAGCAGCTTGAGGTCTAGGGTTTAGGGTTGGGGGAATTAGGGTTTAGGGTTTAGGGATTTAGGGTTTAGGGTTTAGAGTTTAGGTTGGGGTGCGGGGGCTGAGTACTCCCTGTCGCCAAGACCCCTAAACCCTAAACTCTAAACCTGTGCAACTACAGTCTGATCAGCATCTGCGAACTCTGACTGACCCTGGAACCTCCACAAAAGGGAGTCTGGATACTGTCTCAACCCTAAACCCTATAAGCTGAACGCCCCCAAAAAAATCCTTATCCTAGAAGCTGTAAACCCATACACCCTCAACCCTAAACCCTAAACCCTAAACCCATACACCCTAAACCCCTAAACCCCTAAACCCCTAAAACCCTAAGCCCGAGCCTGAAGCCATCTGCAGCCTCAGCCTGAAGCACAGCCGGGCCTCTCCAGGTTTGAATTCCATGTTCCAAACTCAATCCACGAACCGAGGCCCCTTCACGATGGCCGTAAAACACCGGCTAGGGTGTTTTAGGATTTTAAGGTTTTAAGGCTCAGGGTTTTGGGGCCGTCATCAACTCAACCCCCCAGTTTCCCGAGACCGGGAGCGATCAAACCTCGAACCCTCGAACCGGGAGTCCGGAGATTTGGGGGAGCCTTTATACCGCTAATAAGAAGTTGATAAGGGGTTTCATAAGGCTCTCGGTAAGGAAGTATAGTCCCCTGCCCCTCCGCGTCCCCCCCTAAGGGTCCCTGTGATGGAGGACTCCTGGTGGTTCGGCCTGCCTCTCCTTCTGCGTGGTCCACTGCTGTCCTTGTGGCTCTGGCAGAGAACATGGGCAGGATCTCTTTCATTAGCCTTAGGGCCATACCCTAAAGCCCAAACCCCTAAACCCCAAACCCCTAAACCGTAAACACCTAAACCCTAAACCCCCAAAAACCCTAAACCCTTATGCCGGGACTTTCGGGATCGTCTGAAGATCCTGCTGTTTAGCCCCCTCCCCCGAGGTGGAAAGAAAAAACCTGGTTTAGGGTTCAGGGTTTAGGGTTTATAGAGAAAGAAATTGTAGGGGTTTGGGTCTCGTGTTTTTTGGGCTCTCCTCTGGGCTGGGCTGTGCTGGGCTGCGCTCAGAAATTGTCTAGGGTTTGGGTCCGGAATTGTGCAGAGTTTTGCCGGGTTTTGTTGTTTTTTTGTGTTTTTGGTCTGGGCTGGACTGGGCTGGGCTGGGCGGGGCTGGCTGGCTGCGGGCTGGGCTTGGGCTGTTGGTGCGGCTTGGAATTGGTTTCTTCGCAGACGTTAAAGGAAAAGTCGAAACTAATGAAGATGCAGTTCGAAGCGAAATTCACACAATTTCTGTTCTTGTGGGTTTAGGGTTCACGGGTTAGGATTTTGGGTTTAGGGGTCAATTGTCAATGCGACCCAGACGAACTGCTATGCCCCTCACCCTCACTCCGGAACCCCAGTCGTAGGCGACACAAACCGAATCACCAGGGCCGGGAGTTCGAAACCCTAATCTACTGAAAGCGCTGCAAACCCTAAACCCTAAACCCTGTAATAAACACTGAGTCTGGAGCCTAACAGCCTTAAGTTAAGAGCAGTAGAGCCTCAAAGCCCTAAAGCCCAAGAGAACTTAAGCCCTCGAGCACTGAACCCCAAAGCGTAAACACTCAAGGACTAAACGAAACCTAGACCCTAAACCCTAATCCCTAAACCCTAAACCCCTAAACCCTAAACCCCTAAACCCCTGAACCCTAAACCCCGATATCACCAATATCCTTAAAACCTTAAACCCTAAACCCCAAAATCCTAAAGCCCTAAACCCCAAAGTCCTAAACCTTAGAATCCTAAACCCCGAAATCCTCAAACCCTAAGCCCTAATTAAACCCTAAGCTCCAGAATCCTCAAACCCAAAACCTTATGAACCCTAAACTCCAAAATCCGTAATCCCAGAAAAGACTCGGGCGAGGCCCCTGCTGCTCTTCACCAACAACCCAGCCACGCAAGTAGCGCCTTGAAGAGACTCTACAACGTAGGGGTTTAGGGTTTTAAGGGTTTGGGGTTTAGGGGATAGGGGATAGGAGTTTAGGGGGTTTAGGGGGTTTAGGGGTTTAGAGGTTCAGGGGTTTATTGGTTTAGGGGTTTAGGGGTTTAGGGGTGTAGGGTTAAGGGGTTTAAGGGTTTAAGGGTTAGGGCTTTAGGGTTTAGGGGTCAGGGGTTCGGGCTTCAGAGCTGTTCGGAGCTAGGTTGTGGGGGTTTCGGGTTTTTGGGGTTTCTGGGTTCAGGTTTCGGGGTTGGGCTGCGGGATTCGGGTTTCTTGACTGCTGAGTTCAGATTTCAGGGCTTGGGGGCCTTAATTCGGGATCGAGGGGTGAGGAGCTTTTGATTTGTGTAGATTGCAATAGCAGTTCCTGCATCATCAGGACCCTGCCTTGCATCCTCCGCTCGTTACCGAAAGCCCCCCCAAATCCTAAACCCGAGACCCTGAACACAAAAACCCCTAAGCCCCTAAACCCCCAAACTCTTAAACCCCTACACCCCTAAACCCCTAATCCCCTAAACCCCTAATCCCCTAAACCCCAAAACCCCTAAACCCTTAATCCCCTACACCCTAAAACCCTAAAGCCCTAAACCCTAAGCCCCTAAGCCCCTAAACCCAATGCTCTTAAACGGGGACCAGAAGTTTGGCCCTTCCAATCTCAGGAACATATGGGGGGTTCCTTAAAGGGTGTAGGGTTTAGGGTTTTAGGGTCCTTTTGGGGTTCCTTAAAGGGATCTATAAGGGTTTCTCTAAGGGTACTATAAGGGTAGTTCTCTAAAGTAGGGCCCCCTTTTTAGGGTCCTTTTTATAAGAGTGCCGTGGTATGTTTGGGACCTACAAATTTAGAGAGCGACCCATATACTTTAGATCATCTTCGGGATCCTACTACCATAATTTAAGGTAAAATCCCTCAAGTCCCTGGTTAAGGGATTTTGGAAGGTCTGGGTAAGCCCCCAAACCCTCAGCACCAAAAGCCGTTGGCTTCACGGCAGAGGCTTGAAGATTTGGCTTCTAAGTCCTTTGAGGTATAGAAACGCAAATCCGTTACCCAAAGATTCCCCATCTGCCTTCAACCCCGCCTGAACCTCCATAGTATGTCGAATAATGGTTTTTCCATACATGTTGGGCGATTATTTGTCTACATTTGGGAATTTGACGAGCCCCAGCTATTTGCAACTCCTCATTTACCCGTCGCCGAGCTCGATGAAAGAGTCGTTTTTTCCCATGGAGCGCAAACGTGGGCGGACAAAAAGTCATCTCCAACTAAACAGAACCCTAGACACCAAACCCTATATCCCAAAATGCCACAACCCGAACGACGACAAGGTAATGATGTCGCTGACTCTGATCGCGTACGTTGTGCTCCTGAGCTTGGCCTGGCCATTCAAGGCAGCTTCCTCTAAACCCTAAACCCCAAAACTTCTATGTAACATGAACTATCGGATCCAGGGTTCAAAAGGGTTTCCGCACTCCTTCTTGAAACCCTGGTAGTAGCTCTTATAAAATTATAAGGGTTATTGGGATCTCGAAGCACTAGCTGTCAAGATTCTTCAAGTTTGCCGCACGATTTGAAGCTGCAAACACAGGGTGCCTTGATGAATTAGTAAGAATGTTCCTGAGGGTTCCTTCATAGCTTAATATAACTATGCTTGGATCCGACCCAGAATCCCACTTTAATTGTCAGTTTCTAAACGATCCTCTACTAGGGTCTTAAAGCTGTAAATCCTGATGCTTTCCCGAAGCCTCCAGGAAATAGATACTGTAAGCCAGGATATAAAGCCCCACATAGCTTACATAATCTATTCATACTTACCTAGATTGTTTTTTTAGGGCTCCGCAATACTGTAGAACTCTTTGGTGTAATATACCCGAAACTACCCGAAACCCTGTTCCAATCATCAAGGCCGCTATAACAATTTCGTCTCCTCCGGAGGTACCGATCCTCAATGCAGTGGATGCGGCATGTACCTGGGCGCTAATCCTGCCACTTGTCAGCAGAATACCCCAACCCAAATAGGGTTTAGGGTTTCAGGGTTTAGGGTCAAAATGCACATGCTCCAAAATTCATTTCCATTATTTCCGTGATTTGCACCAGCAGGGAGGCTCGGGAATAGGGTGCTGTCCGGGATATAGTGCTTTAACTAGGGGCTTCTGTCTTAGTGTTATTGAGTATACCCCACACCCTTGACCCTAAACCTAAACCCTCGTCCCTAAACTTCTAAGCCTTGCAGTGATTCTTCAATTAACGGTGTCTATGCTTGCTTGCCTAAATCCTAAACCCCCCAAACCCCCAAACCCCTGCTAAACCCGGAACAAGCTGAGGCATCTGGACTTGGTACGGGGCTTTGAGGATTACGGCAACAGGATCTCGGGTAAGTCTCCCATATAGCATATACTTAGTCCAACATGTAGTGTAGTCCATTTATGGTAGCTGCTTCAGGGCCAAAGTATAGTCACCGGCCAGCAGATGGAATATTGAGATATAAGGAACTGACTTGGAATACGTTTTTTGAACATGTCCAAAACCGTGTCGTGAGCACATGGACCCTTCTGGCATTTTTCCAACATTCCCACGGCCTGAACCCCCACGCCATGGGCGAGACTGGGCTCAGATGGGCTGAGGCGTTATACTTAAAGCATCCATGGGACTTAGTAAGTAGGGTTATGTTTAGGGTTTAGGGTTATACGTAAGGCGACTATAGCTGTAATAAAGCACTTCTCACTTCAATCATGGTAGTTTCGGGCTTGGCATAGGGGTCGAACTACTCAATTTCAATCATACACCCTTATGGTACCCTCTATAATCTCGCTCAGAGCAACCTTAAATGAACCCTTGAAGGGGCGAAAATATAGAAAGTTTGAGGATTTCCAGAGCCGTCACGGTTCCCTAAGTGGGTCCCCATACGGTTGATGATAAAAATCCTGCGTTACCTTAAGGGCCCTAAGCTATGGGAATTGTGGTGTGTTCCTTATTATGGGTAATGCAGGATTTGTACCATCAACCGTAGTATATTATAGACGTGCTTTAGGGAGGATGTCCAAAAGCCCTCACGGTTTGTCATTCCGCAGACAGAGGCGGCAGAGGAGTAAACGTACCTAGGACCAGGCGTGTTCGGCCTTGGGTGTTTAGGGCTTAGGGTTTCAGATTTCAGAGTTTCGGGGTTTAGGGCTTAGGGTTTCGGGGTTTCGGGGTTTAGGGTTTCGGGTTTCGGGGTTTCGGGGGTTCAGGTTTCAGCGTTTAGCGCTTATGATGCGTGCAGGGCGGTTGATGGTCTGTCCCACAGAGGATCCAGAAGCCCACAAACACCCAAACCCTACAGCCCAAGGCCTTAAACCCTAAAGTCCTAAAACCCCTAAACCCTAAAGCCCTAAAGCCCCAGAATCCTAAAACCCCCCCAAAACCCTGAAGCCCTAAAGCCCTAGGCCCTAGACTTAGCTTCTCGTGCATCACCCGAAACCTTGCAAGGGTGGATGGATCCTCGGGTTCCCAGGGTTTTCCTGGACCCTATGAAACCTTTCTGGTTAAGGTTCCCAAGTCTGATTTGTTTAGGATTTTAGGGTTTTAGGGCTATAGGGCTTATAGGGTTTAGGGTTTAGGGTTTAGTCAGGGTTTAGGGTTTTGGGTTTTAGGGTTCGGGGTTTGGGGTTTTAGGGTTCTCAACTCTGATTTTCTTATATAACTCCTCAAAATGGTTAGGTTCTTTGGAGTCCAGGAAGTTGATGGATGGCTCTCGATCGAAGACCTATCCTCCTGTGCGCAGTAAACGTTCAATCACAGGCAAACTATCTTACCAAATGGGTAGTTCTCTAAATTAGGGTCCCTTTTTGAATCCCCAATATAGTACGGCACCCTTATATCAAAAAAACAAAAGACCCTAAAAGGGACCCTACCTGGAAGCTCCAACGCACCTTAATTTCCATATTTGTCTTCGTCCGCACATTAATTGGAAAACCGCGCTTTTATCGACTAGATTTCCGTGCCTGATGGATTTTGGGGAAACGTGCAGAAATTGGCATAAAGATGAACATCGATGTAGCCTGTAGCAAAGTGATGCGCATAGTGCATCATGTATACTCACTACACATAGCTTTGACCCTGAACTCTCGACTTGTACCGAAACCTCTCCACCCCATGTATCGTTGGTAGCACGTCTATCAGGGGTCCCCATCATGGCATAGTATCCACAGCATCCTGTAGCTAGCATCGCCATTGCTAGCTCATCATTCACACTTCCGCCATATAGCTTCTGTTGTCCACCCTAGAACACTCCAAGCTTTAAACACCCCTAAATGGCCCCTAAACCTTCGCAGCTCGAGGCAAGGCAGAGCCGCGCAGTTTGTGGCTGGAGGGTGTAGATAGTGACAGCAACTCCGAGCATAGATGAGCTACTTGTAGCGGGTTGTATGGAGGTTTGCACGCCATAATTGTATTGCATGTTCATGTATGTATATACACATGTGTAGTGCATGTATATATATATATAGGTACATTAGGCATGCATCTGCTGTGTGTGTTCATATTGTAGAATATATGTGTACATGCATGCACGCATATGTGTACACGTATATAGGTACGAATGCACATGTAAGCACTCGTGCATATGCAAATATGCGTGTATGAATGTATATGTGTGTAGTGTATTTGTATGTGTATGTGTATGTGTATGTATGCATGTATGCATGCATGCCTTTATGCATATGTCGGTGTTATTTATGTATGTATGTATGTATGTATGTATGTATATGTATGTATGTATGTGTATGTATGTATGTATGTTTGTATGCATACATGTATATTGTACGGTGTATCCATATTAGACACACGTACATAAATACATATATAAATATAAATAAAATATAGGTAAAGGCATATGTACATATAGGCAGGAAGGTATGTCGATCTCGCCGTCGGTTGGCGCCTGCAGCAGGGCCGAGGTCTCGCTGGCTATGTTTCTGCATCTTACGTGCTCTGCATTGCTCGATTAAGCTGTGGGCCTGATTCAATTGGATGGTAGCTTTCTGGCTTCCAGGTTAGGCCTTAGCAAACGCAAGTCATAGTGGAAGATGCACAGTCGTTGGACTTGCTAGTCTAGCCGAGGCAAATCCGATCGGGGCTTTTCGGTGATCCTCTCTAGCCTTGCTAAAGCTAGCCTTTTCGTGATGGCATCGCTGGCAGAAGTCTGGTGCAAGATTCCCGGTATGGATGCTCGGGGGGCAAGTGGAAGGCTCATTGTGGGCCCGACTCATCTTAAGCGCGAGGACCTGGACTTTAATTACATGGTTGTCGGGCATGCGATCCAGTGGGTGGGGTGCAGACCATCCATAGATCCACTGGCTGATGAAACAGCGGACTTCTTCCACATGACCAGGGTCAAGGGAAGGCCCCCCGCAACACGTACCCCAGCTGCATAATTGCAGATCATGCAGAGTCTATAGAACCGAAATCGTATGCTATCGATGCCGAGGTGAGTTCTGCAAAGCTGCTGCATGGCGTGTGCGGAACCTGATTACGATTTTCTGTTCGATTGTCAAGCGTCCCCACAGACCTCGGGAAAGAAACATTCTGAAGCTCTACCAGATGCTGAACATTGCCATTCCTGAAGGACTGATCTTAAACTATTCAAACCCCATATGTACAATCTAAAACCCTATGTACTCTTCGCCTTCGACCAGGACGATCGCCAGCAGAAGATGATGATGAGGCCTGTGCCACAAGCAACTCTAGCTGGGGCCCGTAGGTTTAGTGTTTGTCGCTTCGGGAAACTTAGGGCTTAGTACGTACTTTGTGTTTGCAGGTTGCAGATGTCGAGGAAGCTGAGGAGGAAGAGAATTGGACAGAAGATGAGATTGTGGATGTTGAAGCTGCACCTAGTGGCCTCGCCCGATGTACTGCAGATAGCCCCCCCCCGGAGTTGCCAGCTAGTATTGTCCCCAGAGCTCCCCAGCTTTTGAGGGCAACTGGACCAATCGAAAGCCCAGCCCCGCCAGCTGCTGTGCCGGAGCCCGCTCCCGTGGATCCAACCCCTCTTCCCGTGCCTGCTGCCTCTGAGCTGCTTCGCACAGAAACGTGTGACTTGATTGGACACATGAAACCCTATATAATATACATAAATATGTCGCTAGCCATGTGGGCCCAGGTGATTCGATTACGACCGCAGCGACATCTACGCAAGCGACCCCGCCACCCAGGCACGACTCGAATGCTTCTCCGGAGTCTACTGCGAAGCTGCCCTTGCCGGTGAGTAAGAAGCGCCTCCTTCTGGATAGTTTGGAGCGTGAGTATGCTTGCTTGGAAGAGCTCCTCATGCTGAAGCGTCAGAAGCTGGCTAAGCGAGAGTGTGAAGCAGCCCGAGCAGTCCCGCATAGCCATGGTGGCTAGTCTTATTGGAAATCTATGCATCATGAGCATTATAACCCCGATGCATATGTGCATCGTGCATGGCCCAGGTGATGTGGATCGCTTTGAGACACAGCCGATGGGCTTCGACGTGGCTGAGCAAGTGCTGGAGGTGGCAAAGATGGAGTGTGACAAGCGTGAGCTGCAGATGATTCAGGCCGTACATGCAGTACTTATACAGTGTTACCGCTTAGAAATGGCCCGAGCCTCTCGCTTGCAGGAGGCCGAGGATCTGCCCAAGCAGACCCTGGCAGGTCCTGGGGAAGTCACGGCTGAAGCCGATGAGGGTTCGGTCGATCGGCTCGCTTGTGAGCCCGAGGCCCTTGCTGAAGCCGCTGAGTGTTCGGTCGATCGGCTTGCTGGTGAACCCGAGGCCCTTGCTGAAGCCACTGAGCATTCGGTTGATCGGCTCGCTGGTGAACCCGACCCTCTCCCTGAAGCCACTGAGCATTCGGTCGATCGGCTCGCAGGTGAACCCGAGGCCCCTGATGCAGCCATCCTTGGCACCCCTGCTGAAGACAAGGTTGCTTTGACAGAGCATGTGCCCAGTGGCAAATGCAAGCCCAAGGGGAAGGCAAAGGCAAAG